CCCCTCTGAAGTCCATGGGAAACAATTAGTGACTTGCCCATTAGACAACTCCTACGCTTTGTTGTATAATTAGTGCTGGTATTCCGACCTCAATTTCTCAAAAGACCAAGGGGGCCAACGTCCAAGTGAAAAGCGTAATTGTTCAACAGTCAAGGACGTAAATTTAAGGCACATAGAAAAAGCACAGTCAGCAGTGATTCGAGGGCCCCAGCTAAAAAGATTTACAAAGTAATAGAACAGAACACTGAATCACTTCTTCACAGACACACTGGCAAGGCCTTGTTTATGGCAACAGTGATGAAGCATTGCACACTGTTAGATTCACCATGTTTTCTGGACACATAGCATGTCTCCATGTTGTTAGGCAGTGTTTGAAAAGTTTCCCTCTGCATTGTGGAATATTGATACGGTACAGAAAGTAAATGAAAACATGAATCAAGCTAAAATGCCAAGGAAACAGACTTGAGTAGTTTAGTTGTGTCCTGCAGCATATGATTCCTACATACAGTATTTTCATGCATGGGTACATTAGCTGTATCATAAGGGAGGACTGTGATCAATCGTACCATGTAGCAATGTTGTTTTATCAATTTTTAAATAAAATGAGGGGATAAAACTAATTTTATATTATGTGAAGTGTAACAGATTTTTGCCAAACAAGCAGTTTCGGTTCCCCTTCCAGTGCTATTATACATAGAAACATAGAATGTGACGGCAGATAAGAACCATTCGGCCCATCTAGTCTGCCCAATTTTCTAAATACTTTCATTAGTCCCTGGCCTTATCTTATAGTTAGGATAGCCTTATGCCTATCCCACGCATGCTTAAACTCCTTTACTGTGTTAACCTCTACCACTTCAGCTGGAAGGCTATTCCATGCATCCACTACCCTCTCAGTAAAGTAATACTTCCTGATATTATTTTTAAACCTTTGTCCCTCTAATTTAAGACTATGTCCTCTTGTTGTGGTAGTTTTTCTTCTTTTAAATATAGTCTCCTCCTTTACTGTGTTGATTCCCTTTATGTATTTAAATGTTTCTATCATATCCCCCCCTCTCATCTTTCCTCCAAGCTATACATGTTAAGATCCTTTAACTTTTCCTGGTAAGTTTTACCCTGCAATCCATGAACTATTTTGCCACATACATAATGATGGAACACACACACAAGTTTATTCATTACTGTAAGAATCCAAAGTGAATTTCAAATCAAAACAGTGAAACTGGTAAAGATTCTCTAAGTCAGTTATGCTTTAAGTTTGTCTACATTGGTTTTTTTTTTTTTTTAAAGGGACACTTTAGTCACCCAGACCACTATAGTCACCCAGACCACTTCAGCCTGGTAGGCTACAGTTAATTTACAGTTTAATTTACCACCTACATACTCCTTTTATCCCGTCGATTTACATTATTTTCTCATTTTGTTTATTCCTGATAAATAACTATAGCATATATTTAGTAGGAGATTTATTATTCTTTAATTATTTTAGAATAAGCGAACACCATCCTAGTATGTTACTGGCCAAGTCTTTATAGTAACAAACATCTATCACCACTATCTTCTCCGATTTCATAATAAACCCTTCTTCCTATCCTGAATATTTGCTTCGTTTTTAATTTCTGTTCTGTAATGTTTTCTAAGTTCTAAACAGAAACATGACCCTGCATTTATTTACCATTTTGGGAATCCTTGTTTTACATGTCCATTGCCTTCTTATTGTAACGTATGACGAGTGCTCTGCATGATCAATTTAAAAGAAATACAATTATCCTTTAAGTCCTGCAAGTGATGATGTGGGGCCTCCATGGACTGGATTTGATTTCTTCCCGAACAACCCAAAGCTGCTCAATCGGATTGAGATCTGGGGAATTTTGAGGCCAAGGCAACACCTTGAACTCTTTGTCATGTTCCTGAACAATTATTGCTGTGTCAGGGTACATTTATCCTGCAGAAAGGGGCCAATGCGGTCAGGGAACACCAATGCCACAAAGAGGTGTACGTGGTCTACAACGATCTCTAGGTAGGTAGTACATGCCAGTGTAACATTGTACTTTAGCCATAGGATATGATCAAAAGCATTCAAAATATCCCTTCCACTGTTCACAGCATGACTAGCAGTACATCAATTGGGAACTGCCACCATAGATGTAAACTTTACAGGGGCAAGGATGAAATATTAACTTTTCAGATTTTCTAGTGATTTGTTTGATGAATGGCACCTTACTGAACGTGTAAACCAATTCAGGTTAGCTAGGTGCACTTTAACCCTTGTGATTGCTGCCACAAAGTTAGCTATTTATGCTTTAGAGAAATAGAGCTGAGGAGTTCCCACTATTCCCAGTTAGTCTCAGCCAGCCAGGTTACCTCCATTAAGAACACACCAGGACTACAGCATGTACTTGCCCTTAGTGGAAGTCTCCCTTGTGATTCCTGCACTGTGTTTTGACAGCTGACTGACAGCTGCTCCAGTTCATGTGTGGATCAGCTGTCAGTGTTATTACTGGCCGGATCACTAGGAAGACAGCAATAGTCACTGATTAGCTCCCATGCTGGCTGAGCACCCTGGGAGACAATCATAATCACTTACCTTAGCAAGCACTAAGGCTATGTCATAACTCTTTCTGCAGGGCAATCTACTAACTAGTTCATTGTCAGTATTAAAAAAAAAAAAAATCCCACGTTTGACTCTGGACAGTAAGGTAGTATCTCTAGGACGTAAGCGAAGAGGCATGCCACTTATTTGATCTGAATTCCTGAAAATCCTGGCCATGATATTGCTATACCCCAAAATATGCTGCAAAATACACATCAGGGGACATTGAAGCAGTAGACACAAGGCTTGTGAAATTCACCATTTAATTTAAGAGAACGCAGTAAACGTAGAAATAAACACACAAAAAAAACCCCATCAGATTTGTCAGAGATTCGTTATAAACCGTTTAAAAGAAAAGTGACAAAAATATGATTAAGAGCCTAATTTTTAGTTATATACTTGTGTATCTATTTTAGATTCTGCTAAATCTCAGCACATCAAGAGTTGCAGTGCATCAACCCCACAAAATGTAAAAATCACTATTTATTGGATATACCCACAATGTAACCCGCATTGTTAAAGGGGAAAAGAAAGATGCTAGGTACTACTTGATGATTGACAGCCAAGGTAGAGTTTCTGCCCAGACTTATAAAAGCGACAATGACTATTGAAATTGGCACTTTCTAAACTGCCACAACTGAGACATGCTGATGTGCTTTAAGTGTTCCTTTAAAATCTAAATTTAAAAATAACTGGCTTACTGGTCAAATGCTTGAGAATTTGGCCATTGTGCCTGAAATTCCAGGCTCACTGCTAACATTTAAGCTGTCAAGTTTCACGATGTGTACAGGTGGTTGTTGGTGCTTCCATGGACATCAAGATTAAGAGGTTTGAGGCCCCTGATGGTGAAACAAACCCTCGGAGCTAGCGGCCTACTCTGGCGAGGAGCCCCATTCACACACACACCCCCCCCCACAAACCAGTTGGAGTTTTCCAGTCCCCACTGGAAGGAGCTAACATTACAAAGTCCATCCCTACAGCGCTACCCCAGCAGTCAGAATTTCGACTCTTGGCCAAACAAACCATTGACCTCATTGCTTACACTGTTTACAGACAGCTTTTTAAAGCAATCACATCTGCTGACAACAGTTCCCATCGCTGGACTATTCTCACACCAACGATTTAATCTGGCCAAGCCTCCTAGCCCGCCGATCAAGCCTGGTCCCCACGATTGCCTTCTTGGGCCCACAGAGGACATCTCTCAATCCACAGCCCCACCTCTAGCATTAATTACTGAATATTGAGACTCAATAATTCACTTAATCTTATAGCTGAGCCTTAGGCCAGAGATTGAACATGGTGATTTAACTTGAAAATGTTTGCCTGCTAGTATAGTTTTTAATCCGGAACGTAAGCTGGTGGGCCCAATTTAAGATTACTGTTACACATACCCAGACTACTCTCCATGCTCAAGTAGTTCTATAATCCACATAGCCATGCCGGTCTAGTGTGCTTACTTCTACCACACAAAATGAGGCTGTTTTACTCAGGAATTTCCAATTTTTACAACCTGATCGTATTTTCTTTCCATGTTTACATCTGTTTTAACTCTGATTTCTTTTTTTCTGTATTGCCATATTATGTCTCAAAAAATATCTACTCCTTTTAATATTGCCCTATAATTTAAAAAAAAAAACACAAAGCCAAGAAATCATTTTACTCATATGTAATGTGATATGACATAACGCCTTTTGAAATTCTTAAGTATACAATGTTTTCTTCTATTGGGTTAATCTGTAATAAACACTGGGTGAAATGGTTTGGCGCTTGCAATTCTAGCTGCAATACAAGTGATAGTCATGGTTTTTAAATTGACATAGCACTTTTTAATAGGAGATTTGTCTTATTTTACACTTGTTTGCCCTAATGCAAAAAATAAACATTTTTTAGAATCCCTTTAAAAAAAACAAAAAAAAAAACTGAAGAGAAACCGTGTGCCAAAAGCATTTACCACCATCTAGTGGCAGTTTGTTAAACAAACAGATTTCCCACCTCTTATAGGTGGGCATCCTGAAGAAGGGGGGTAAATTAAAAAACACACAAAAACTTTACAATGAATGTTTCTTTGTAGTTTGAAATTTAAATTGACATGTCATGCAATCCACTTTAATGTGCTAAATAAGTTGTAAATGTTAAAAAAAAAAAACTAAAAAAAAAAACCATTCAAAATAAAGCTACATCTTAAGATCTTACATTTGTTACAAAATCCAGCCACTCTTGCTCACTTACAACATTCCATAGCACCATTTATGTATCCTGCAAGCTGTGCTGGATAAACAAAGCAAGTGTTTAAAGGGAGTCGTAGTTCAACATTCAACTTTCAACTCCAGAATTCAGAGCTAAACCTCACAGAAACCGTTTTTTGCAATTTTGGCAAGCTGGAAAGTACTATAGCAACTGCACTGGAGTCAGGGTCTTCTCTGCGTACTCTGAAAAATATACAGTATATAGTGCAGACTGTCTGTACATACAGGGTATGCAAAATTAAAGTGTATCTGGGGGTCAACTCACATGGACCAGAGCCCTATCACCGCTGGCTCTGGGTTTGAATTGCTCCAATGGAGAGGGATAAACCCACAGCATAACAAAATAGGATACTCTTCTGAATCAGATGTAATATCTTGATTGCCGCTCCCCAGCTTGACAATCCGAACAGAACGTGACAATTACAGAGCACCTCGGGATAAGAGACTGCTGGCCGCACAGTCTCTTATCCCGAGGTGCTCTGTAATGGTCACGTGGAAAATGAAAATTTGTCTTGAGTGACATTACAGGAGCACTCTAATGTTAAAGTGGTCTCCTGCATTTTGAAATGTATGAGCCTCCTATTAAAGTTAAATTAGTTATAGCAACTCATCCCAATAAATGTCTTTAGGTAGGGCTTTATATCTTGAAGGAAGGGAAGACTAAAACAATCATTCCTGCCAACATTACAGGAGAGTAATAGGAAAGGTCTAGTAGTGGTCTGAATGATAGCTACTAAAGATGTCCTTAGGAACAAATGTAAAAATGTTTAAAATGGAGAGACTGCAGATACAGTTTTGTTTCAACTAAACCACTACATAAAAAGGACCACTATAGGCACCCAGGTCACTTCAGCTCAATGAAGTGGTTCTGGGTGCCATGTCCCCCTAGTTGTAACCCTGCAACTGTAAACATAGCAGGGTTAATCCAGCCTCTAGTGGCTGTCTCCCTGAGAACCACTAGAGGCCACTTCCGTAGTCCTTAGTGCGAACATCGCATTGAACTCACACTGGACTTCCATAGGAAAGTATTGAGTAATGCTTTCCTATGGGTGGTTTGAATGTGCGCGCGGCTCAGGCTGCGCATGCGTACTCGGAGCAGACGTCAGCAGGGGAGCACTGCGCTGTATTAAGCTAAGTGGCTGAAGACGTTCTAACCCCTTCAGCTCAACAGGGGGTAGGGGACACTGTCAGGGTATTTATATCGGCAGACATTTTGTGCTATGATAGAAACTAAAAGTGTATATTCTGAGTCACTCTGAACAGACCAGACTCCATTTTGTTATTTTCAAGTTAACAAAAAGACACAAGATTTCTTTCTGTAAGACTAGCCACTTTGCCAGAGCTAAAAGGAATGCATAGTATAAACAAGTGATAAGAAGAATATAATCAATTCTAAACCCAGACAATTGTGACAGAGAAGATTAAATAATACAATTTAACTGTCTATACATATAAGGTCCCATTGTAAGTTACGGGTCAAAACTCAGATTGCTAGACACATAGTCTGGACAAAACTTAAATAAACCCTTTGATCTGTGAAGGATACGTAAGTTATGGCCACTATCTAGATAGGCCAAAATGACGTCAAAATAGCCACCAGGAAAAGTTAACTCTTTCCTGGATAGGTATGTTTAGTGGGACAAGACTGCCCTCTATAGACTAAATACCTAAATTGCGTTCTGGAAGATAACTACACCTCTAGTGCTTCTATTGGGTTATCAACTGATGACGTACAGAGAGTCTGGCCCTTTAAAAGTTAAGACAAAGGGAAGATACAAGATATGCAGGATATGCAAAGGAGAAAGGAAAAAGAGGAGAGAGGAATTGGAAGTTTGGGGACTCCAACCTCCATGCAGAGAGACATCCAAATAAGTTCCTGAGACTACCAATCGGATGAAATATCTACTCAACTGGTAATTATACTGGTTTCATTTAATTAATTAAATTAATTAAAATGTATTAATAGCATTATATATGACTGGATAAAGCACGGTCAGATTTCCATATTAAGAAATCTTAGTTAACTAAAAAGAATATATAGTTATAAACATTCCATTCTGCAGGTGGAATTAAGAATAATTATATATTAATGTGATATTATCACGTGTTAGCATACCGCTGTTTTTATCCAGGTGTATTGATTTGCTCTAAATTAAGATAGATATCTTTTAGACAAATTAAAATCTGCTTATATAATATGGTAGATTCTCTTATTGGATGGTTCCAGGAAATGACTAATGAACTGGTTTAAATGTTATTTTATTTAAAATTACATAAGAATAGATCTTAATTACCTAGGAGATCTAGCCAGCATTGAAAGGGTTATTCTAACTGTCAGCTAAACTTTACGACCTTACGCTGCACTCTGAGGAATTCTGTTCTGAAAAGTTTCACTTTCAGTCTGTGTTAAAGATAGTCATAAATCGTCAAAAGTCTTGACAGATAATGCTATTTAGCCATTGAAATGTGGATAGCCATTCCTTTGTATTGCATATCATTTTATACTGGATATTCATTGATTATTGTCATGCATGTTACATGTTATTATTAATTAATTTGTTATTAAAAATAAAATCTATTTTTATAATAAAATTGTAATATTATTTATATGATATACTTCTCACTTACGATAAACGTTCTTTGGGATCTGAGAATTGAATTAGTGGGCAATTCTCAACTGTTTACTATTATTATCCCATAAATATCCCCACAACACACACCTAATAACCCTATAGTGCCAGGAAAACAAGTTTGTTTTCCTGGCATTAGTATTCCTTTAAAAGCTGCAGTGATTCTTGTTTTAGGAGATCCAGTTAATAAAACCCCCTAAAGTAAATTAACAACGAATAACGAAAATGTTTAAAATTTAGTTAAAAATAAAAGGGCCCCTCCGAGCGATCGACATAACCATGCTATGCCAGTAATGACCATGCCATTTAACCCAGTAGAGGGAGGGCAGCGAACTGTTCTACCCTTTACTAGAGTCCCATAGGGCACAGAGCAAGACCTTTACACCCCCACCCCCTTGTTTTTCTCTCTCTCGTCCTCTAGATTATCATAAAATACATGAAGAAAATATAGAAATACTTTTTAAATAGGGTACTTCACATACAACCAAGCTGAAGTGCTTTATGGATGTGGAGTGATCCTTTAAGCATACTTTCTCTTGCTCACTTCTTACAACACCGGTTCCAGCAGCTGCCAGGGACATACTGGAATAAAGACTACCGACACAAAAAGCTCTATTTCAGTAACACCTGGAAGTCTGCTACATTTGTAATAAAGACGGCATACCCATGGGACAAGAGTAAGATAATTTACAGAAAAAATTAAAATTTGAAAAACATGTTAGCCCCAAGTTATGCCATCAAATCAGACTCAAAGATGAGAGATACATGTTCCTTTAGGGGTTGCAATGTATGTAAAGTTTGCCGGACGACTTCTGTGCAGAGGTCCAATACATTTTCCAGTTATATAACCGGTGACATGTATCATATCAAGTCAGACATAAGTTGCCACATGGACTTTGTTGTATATTTGCTCCAGTGCCCATGTGGCAAACAATATGTGGGTCGTACAAAACGAGCCCTTACAATTCGGCTTTTGGAACATTTGAATAATATTTTAAAAAGACTTACAACCCACTCGGTCCCTGTGCATTGCAACACATGTCCCTCTTTTTCTTTGAAGGACTTTAGATGTACGGGCATCGAGAGGGTTTTCCCACATTGGCGTGGTGGGGACAACTTTCTAGACGAGAAACTTTTTGGATCCATAAATTAAGACCATTAGAGCCTAATGGGCTAGATGTTGATATTGATTTGGTTTGTTTTTTATAATTCACATGCTGTTTCGTTTTCTTTTTCTGTTTATGTCCCTCTAATCTTCTCAGGTATATATATATCTTTTTAGGGGTTTTGAATTTCCCCTTTTCAATATATATTAACTTCTGCATTTTTTTTCTGTGGCTTTAAAGACTAATAATATTTCTGCTCTTTATAATCTTTATGTTTCATAATTAGCTAGTGGCTACACTGATTATTGCTAATTTTGATGTATATTAATATCCGTTCATTGATATAATATACAATATGACTAAAATATAGACATGTGCATATTTCATTTTTTCTTTATTCTTTTTTTAATTCTCTAAAAAAATCTTTAGCAAACATTTGTATTGATAAGGAATTTTTTAAACACTGAACTCTTTTTCATAATGATTTATTTGATGATTAAAAGGATTAATATTTGATAAAATGTGCTCTATTAATTCCCCATATATATGGGGGTGTATTGTACCGGTTATACGCTGTTGTTGCTGATTTATTTTGATCTTAGACAGATACACTCACTATCAATATTATGGGACTATTCTATTGGCGACCACCACCTTTAGTGATGACACGCATGGTGGAACACTTCCAGTTCCGGTTTCACGGATACGAACGCAGGTTTTTTCTAATTGGAAATAAGAAGATATTCCCCAACAGCTGAGGAAGAAATCTGACCGGACCAATGAAGACTGGGAAATAGGAAGACGCCCATGAATTTCATCATGGACACAGAGAGTAGCCCTATATATTGGGACTATGGGGATGGGGGAATTAGGCTGCTTTTTTACTGTTATGTTATTGTTTTTATTTTATGGTCCCTGAGGAAGTTCACACGTGTGAACGAAAGGCGTAGGACCTCGTGGCTTATTATATTTTAAAATCATTTTGTGGAATTTTATTCTCCTTACCAATAAAGCTGCAATTTTTTTTCACCATCACTTGAGTCCTGCATTGTATATCCACCGGTGAACAACAGAAGGGATTTAGCCCCCCATTGCCATCGGGGGAGGCACCCTAGAGCACTATTCTCACGGAAGTTTGTGAGTGCATTACATTGATACAATTTGGTTCTTTTACAATATGTATGTTTTTTTGTTTGGTTTAGATTTACAGCCGTATCCCAAATTTCTCTGTTGTCTTATACTCTTGCTGTGTTAAGGTCACCTTTTCTGGGTAGTGACCTGGGAGGCTGTCGCTCTATATCTTTGAGATAAGTATTAACTTTTACTTTTTGGCGGCATATTTAGTGCCTATATATAGTTTTTCTAAAATAAAACTATTTTATCCCTGCTTATGTGTAGAATGGAGAGTTTGCAAAACCAGTTATTCATTCTTCAGAATTTGTTTAATTGCATACTTGCACTCTGCCTATATATTTAAAAAGTGGGAGGAGAGAGAGAGGACAGTCATGAGTAGAAACAACATTTAACAGAAGAAAGATGCCACAGTGGAAAAAAGTACCCTACACCAATTCTCAGGCCTATACTCCCTGATACAGAGTACAAAGAACACAGCTCAATTAGAAAGTCAATGAAAGGGCCAAGATTGCTTTCTAAAACCCAGGTTGCTGATGTTTGTCCTCTGTCAGAAATAGCACAACAATGTACTCAAAAGGATCTGACCGTTTCATTTTCAAGGGGAATTTAGCTCTAAAGAATACTACATCTATGTAAAAAAAAAAAAGTTTTTGAAATCCTGTTTTAAAATGAAACTGCAAAGACAGTACTAGTACCACTTTGAATAAAAACTTTCCAGTAAGTGTTTCTCAGAAGTGCCAACTTTTTTTCAGCCCATAATGTCAGCATGAACTCCTCTATAGCACTTTAAATGAACTGCCTAGTGAAGAAATGTTTCATATACCATACCTATTATGCAGATTAGTTTAATTAACAAAACTGCATTAATATTCATGTGTAAACCCTCAGAGATGAGTTTACGCATAGTGCTGCTTGTCATCGTGGCAGCTAGTCTAAAAGAATAGCTATATAA